CACCCTTAAAGTTTTGAGGTGGTCAGTCCCTCAGTCTGGAGAAGAGCATTGTTCCATAGTATGAAACAATATGAAGATGAAGTGGCAGGATGGAGCCTTATATAGCGCCATATAAGGCTCCATCCTATATAAGGCTCCATCCTGCCACTTCATCTCCATATTGTTTCATACTATGGAACAATGCTCTTCTCCAGACTGAGGGACTGACCACCTCAAAACTTTAAGGGTGATGGACTGATTACATCGTCTTCAAGTATCTTCTGCTTCTATCAAACTTTTCTGTACTCGACTGAAGAAGCCTACTGTGTAGGCGAAACGTTTCGAAATAAAGATACCTAACTGTTGCATATGTGTCTTACCTAACAACCTGTCGGTATTTTATACCATTTTAATGTTCATTCTGGCCCTGGGGCAGAGTGCATGGGCATGTCATTTATGGCATGTCATTTATGGCATGTCATTTATCGCATGTCATTTAAGTTCGATGTTTGCTATTTCTCTGACCAGTGGCTCCCTACGCATTTCAGATATATTGGCCTCTTTTAGCCGCTCTGTTATTCTTTTTCGTCGCCTGTAAAGGGAGCGCCTGTCTCTTTCTATTTTACATTTACTCCTCCTTTTGCTTGAAGGAATAAGCCTTGAGCATACATCGACTGCCACAGAGTTAATCTGTTCAAGGCATAAGTTGGGGTTTGTGTTGCTTAGTCTATCTTCCCAGCTTATATCGGTTAGGACTTGGTTTACTTTATGTTCTTGTTATTGAAGTTGAATTTGGTGAAGGTTCCCTCATGACTAATCTCATTATGTCGGTCTGGGGCTCCGCGCATACATGTCTGAACCTCGATTATGTTGTGATCCGAGTATATTGTGTTTGATATGGTGACATTTCGTATCAGATCATCATTGTTAGTGAAGATGAGGTCTAGTGTATTCTCCAGTCTAGTAGGCTCTATTATTTGCTGGTTTAAGTTGAATTTTGTGCAGAGATTTAAAAGCTCGTGTGTGTGTGAGTTCTCGTCAGAGCTGCCTCCTGGTGTTATCATTGAAACAACATTATTTGCTATATTCCTCCATTTTAGGTGCCTCAAGTTGAAATCCTCCAGGAGCAAGATGTTGGGGCCAGGAGCTGGCAGATTTTCCAGACAGTGGTGAATTTATAACAGCTGTTCCTGGAATTGCTGGGATGTTGCATCCGGAGGCTTGTAGACTATCACAATGACTAGGTTTTGGTTCTCGATCTTTACTGCTAAAACTTCCACTACGTCATTTGAGGCATTAAGCAGTTCTGTGCAAATAAGTGACTGCGATATACAGGCCAACCCCTTCCCCTCCTTTTGCCTGTTCACTCTGTCGCATCTGTATAGGTTGTAACCTGGGATCCATATTTCGTTATCCAAGTGATCCTTTATGTGAGTCTCTGTGAAAGCTGCGAACATTGCATTTGCCTCTGCAAGCAGTCCACGGATGAAAGGTATTTTGTTGTTCGTTGCTGGCTTTAGACCCTCTATATTTGCAAAGAAGAATGTCATCGGACTGGTGGTATTGGTGGTACTGGGGGGGAATTTTTTTTCCGGCATTAGTATCTGTATCTGTTGGTTTGGAGTGGAGGCCATCAACTGTGGTTCCACTCCAGGAATGTAAGCAGAATTTATGACACACTGAACATTAGGTATAACTTTATTCCAAGTTTCACTTCTGGGATTGATAGTAGCTCTCAAGACATCAAGTACTTTCTTATTAGTTCGTTCCACTAACCCATTACTGGCAGGATGGTGAGGAACAATGGTAGATTTAGAGATCTTATGCAAGGTACACAAATTTTCAAGAATCTCATTGCAGAATTCACCTCCATTATTGGTTACTAGCGACTTAGGAGTCGTATGCCTGCAGATTATACGTTCTTTAAATGCTTTAGCTATTGTCTGGGCAGTCTTATCTGCAATAGGAACTAACTCACAATATCTGGTGAAATGATCTACAATTACACACCGATGTTTGTTGCCCTGAGGGAACATTGGAAATTAGTCAACAGATCTAGCGCAACTCTTTCCCACGGTTTGCTAGTAGTTGAATACACCTGGATTGGATTAGGACCATTAACATTGCCTTTATGTTGCATGCAGACACTACATTTCTTAACATACTCAGAAATATTAGTTGCCATATGAGGCCAAAAGTATTTCAATCTGGCTTGTTTTACTGAACGATCCATACCAGGGTGCGCAACACCTGGTACATGTGAACTAGCTCTAAGGCCACATTCACTAGTGACTGTGGAATTACTAACTGGTATACCAGTCTAGGGGAGTTCCCAGCTCAGCTGTGCGGTACAGTAATCGTGGTTCATGACAAAGTCACCGATGGGTGCTGGTGGCTTCACAGTCAGAATGAGATCTTCCTGGAGCAGGAATCGAATCACACCAGACGATATGGGATCTGTTCTTTGAGCATTCTTTACGTCCTCTGCACTAAATGGAAGGCGTGCGGTTACTATACTAACATGTAGCGATAAAGCATCTGCGACTACATTTGACTTGCCAGGTAAATGTTCAAAGGTAGGGCTGAACTCCTGGCTGGTCAAGGACCATCAGGCTAACCTTCCAATTGGTTGTTTGTTCTGGAATAAAAGCATCAGTGGAGCATGATCTGTCAAGACGTGAACAGGGTACTGATATATAATGTCTTGGAAGTGCTTTAAAGACCATACTATTGCTAAAGCTTCTTGCTCAGTTACGTTCAGCCTTCGTAAGGACTCGGCTAGCAAATGCAACTGCGTTGTGCTTGCCATCGGTCTTCTGAGCTAGTATGGCACCTATGCCAATTGAACTAGCATCAGTTGTCAGTTAGAAGGATTTAGAAAAATCTGGAAATTTCAAGATTGGAGCAGATGTTAGCTTTTCTTTTAGAGATTGGAATGCTCTTTCTTGATGGAAGGTTCAAACTAAAGGAGCATCTTTCTTAAGCAACTCAGTTAGAGGAGCAGCTAGGGAAAAAAAAATTGACAATGACAGATCTATGGAAACCTTCTAAGCCCACAAAGGATCTTATGGCATCGGCAGTTTTGGAAGACTGAAACTTGATTCCTGATCTGAAAAATTGACATTTAGACAGTTTGATCTTTAAATTGGCTTCTTTAGGCGTACCAAGTACTACATCAAATCTTCTCAAGTGCGTAACTACGTCTTCAGAAGTGATGATTATGTCATCTAAGTACGCCATAAGTGCGTTACCTATGAGGCCTCTAAAGATATTAGTCATGAGCCTCGAGAATGTGATAGGCGAAGATCGTAACCTGAAAGCCATACAGAGGAAGTGATAATGACCTGTAGATGGAAAATGCGGTTAGCTCTTGGCTGTCCTCGTGAAAAGGGACTTGCCAAAACCATAGTAACAAGTCCAGGTCGAAAAGACATTGGTATCTCCAGTGTTATGCAAAATGTCACCAAGTACAGGATGTGTGAAGCGATCTGGAATAGTTTTCGCATATAACTTCCTAAAGTCAATCACTGGGCACCAAGTACCATCCTTCATAGGTACTAGGATCAAGGGCGCATTCCAGGGTGAATTAATAGTTGGTAACTTATTATTATGGGCACTAGGGAGGAACCGCCATGCCTGACCTGCCATCTAAGCTACCCTGCTCTCAACTGACTACTGTTGTGCACGGAGGGCGAGCGACATTCAAACAACATGCTAGGTCAGCAGAATGACTCAATAAAGGCCAGTGATGACGTAAGGGGGAACGGTGAATCAGTAACGGTTGGTATGAGTTATTGACACTACTTGTAACTGATACTACTGGTAACTGATACTGCTGAGATGTGCGTGAGTGCTTGCATGTGTGTATGTGTGTATTCACCTAATTGTACTCATCTAATTGTGGTTGCAGGGGTCGAGACTCAGCTCCTGGCCCCTCCTCTTCACTGATCGCTTCTAGGTCCTCTCTCTCTCTCTGCTTTCTGAGCTTTGTCATACCTTGTCTTAAAGCTATGTATAGATCCTGCCTACACTACATCACTAGATTGTTCCACTTCCTGACAACTCTATGACTAAAGAAATATTTCATAACATCCCTGTGACTCTTCTGAGTCTTAAACTTTCAATTGTGACCCCTTGTTGCTGCGTCCCATCTCTGAAACATTCTGTCTCTATCCCCCTTGCCAATTTTATATGTCGTTATTATGTCCTCCCAATCCCATCTGTCCTCCAGTGTCGTCAGGTCGATTTTCCTTATCCTCTCCTTGCAGGACATTCCTCTTAGCTCCTGGACTAGTCTTGTTGAAAAGTCTTTACACTTTCTCTAATTTTGTGACGTGCTTGACCAGGTATGGGTTCTAAACTGGTTCTGCATACTCCAGTATGGCCCTGAAATACACGGTGTATGGAGTCTTGAACGATTCCTAACTGAGGTGTCGAAACGCTATTTTTAGGTTTGCCAGGCGCCCATATGCTGCAACAGTTATTTGGTTTATGTGCGTCTCGGATGTGTTCAGTATTAAATCCACTCCAAGATCCTTTTCCTTGAGTGAGGTTTGAAGTCTTTGGCCACCTTAGCCCGCACTCCGTCTACAGTTTTCTTTGCCTTTCCCAATCTTCATGACTTAGCACTTTGTGTGTGTGTGTGTGTGTGTGTGTGTGTGTGTGTGTGTGTGTGTGTGTGTGTGTAAACTATGTATACAATATGTATACAGACAACATACACGAACATATAATATTTGAGAAAGAGCTTCCGTATATTACCATAAAATATTCAGGTGCATCGTTTAGAAAATTTCTGGAGAAGGCATCGCGCATGGCGAGCGAAGTAGATCTTTATGATGATTCCAAAGCATACACACGTGTCGTATTTAAACACTTGTATAATTTACATTCTCTGATTCCTTAAAATATCTCATATTACTACTTTATATCATAGGTATACATCCACCCTAATGAGAGGTGCGCCTCACAATATCCTGTGTGTGAGCATGTCACAACAACCCTACATGAGCATGACTAACCTGAGGGAGCTGCAAGACACATCGTGATTCCTTCTTCCTTGTATTCCTTGCACAGCTGACCCAGAAGAATACCACCACTGGAGTCCGTGTAACTCATACCGTTCATCTCAATCACAAGATATTGTATCTGCAAAAAAACGCATTCAAATTATTCTCATGAATATTTTAGGCAAATTCTCTAATGGTATAAACAATATAATAGCAATTTATATAAAATAACATATAATTACTACTACTACTACTAAAAATAATAATAATAATAATAATTATTATTATTATTCTGGGGAAGCGCTAATCTCGTAGGGATTATATACTCTGTGATGAATGGTTTGAAAAACCGACAAGTTGAAGATTGAGACACTTATGCAGCATATGGGAATCTTTATTCAGGAAACGTTTCGCCACACAGTGGCTTCATCAGTCCAATACAAAGAGGAAGGCGTAGAGAGAGAGTAAGTATCAGTCCTCAGCACTGGGGTCGATTTTCAGTCCATTCAGATGATGGACTGAACACATCGACTCAGCTGGGGACTGATTACCTCAACTCTCTCCTACGCATTCCCTTGTATGACTGATGAAGCACGTGTGCGCAAACGTTCCTAATAAGATTCCATATTGCATAAGTGTCTCAATCTTCATTATACAGTCTATTGGGGGGCAGGGGCTGTGGAAGGTATTCAGACCCAATTCAGGGAATTAAAGCACAGATCCAATCACCTAGATCAAGAGCCCTTCATCAGCATCACGAAACCTCCCATGTGGGTTCTATTTTATGAAATATATATATAAAAAATAATATATGGTAACTCTAATACTACCCAGTGAAACATGAGTTAAATACTAAAATTATAATTACCATTTAACCAGGAGCATTGTAGTTAGAAATTAATTAATATTTGAAAAAAATCTTCAAAATTCGTGGTTTGCTGTAATAACAATAAAAGCTGTTGTTTGTACAAGAAAAATCAACAAAAAAAAAATGAAATGAGTTTATTGCATTACTTAACATGAATTAATAACAAAGAACTTAATTATATTAGAACTAATGAAGGCAATATTTGCATCAATAGGGGAGAAAAATTTTTTTAATACGTAAAAGTTTATCTGAGAACTGAAGAAATATGAAATTTCTGGTAGCGAATATTTCCTTTTCTTCAGTTACATAAAGTTTTGATTATAATAATAATTCAATCTCATAAAAATACTTTTTATTGCAGACATTATGGGTTAAAAACTGACATGATTAGGTGGATAGACACACAATGTGGGAAGCATTGTTGTAGGGTTATTTATGGAAATATAAACACAAATGCAGTATAATGTGATCCTTTATTGACTACGTTTCGCCCACACAGTGGGCTTTTTCAGTTCTGTTTGTGACTTGAAAAAGCCCACTGTGTGGGCGAAACGTAGTCAATAAAGAATCACATTATACTGCATTTGTGTTTATATTTCCATTGTGTCGGTATTTTATACCATTTATTTCCAGGGTTATTTATTTAGGGAAGAAATCGTAGTGACACGATTGCAAACAAACCATACCATAGGTGGGGATAGAACCCGCGATCAGAGAGTCATGAACCTCCAGATCGTTGCGCTAGCCACTAGGCCAGCTAGCCCAGTGGCTAGCGCGTCGGTTTGCAGTTTTATGACTCTCTGATCGCGGGTTCTATTCCCGCCCGTGGTATGATTAATAAGTCTCTGGAAAGGGTTTGTATGAGAGAAGAGAACTAGTTTTCAGTATATATATATATATGTATGTTCACATCCCGATATTCATGACATGAACATGATTTGTTTAGATTCCGACTAAAAGTTGTAGACGTTGGTGGGGGATATTGAGTAAATATCCAAAGTGGGAAATGAAGGGTGACAAGAGTAAGAAATAATCTATAAAATGAAAAGATGAAGATTGAGACACTTATGCAGCATATGGGAATCTTTATTCAGGAAACGTTTCGCCACACAGAGTGGCTTCATCAGTCCAATACAAAGAGGAAGGCGTAAGGGTATTGGACTGATGAAGCCAGTGTGGCGAAACGTTTCCTGAATAAAGATTCCCATACGCTGCATAAGTGTCTCAATCTTCAACTTGTCGGTTTTTCAAACCATTCATCACAAAATGAAAAGACTGGATTTCAGGGTGAGGGAGAATGTAGGAAGTGAATGTACAGTATCTAGATACAGTGGACCCCCGGTTAACGATATTTTTTCACTCCAGAAGTATGTTCAGGTGCCAGTACTGACCGAATTTGTTCCCATAAGGAATATTGTGAAGTAGATTAGTCCATTTCAGACCCCCAAACATACACGTACAAACGCACTTACATAAATACACTTACATAATTGGTTGCATTCGGAGGTGATCGTTATGCGGGGGTCCACTGTATATCGGAGGGAATATTTCTGCAGATGGTTTTTATGAAAGAAGTGAATCATAGCATAGATTAGGCGAATAAAATGATACGTGGACTGCCGAGGCATCTTTGAGAAGAAAGTTACAATATCTGTGGAAGCAGAAAGCGAAATGGTTCAGAGTACAGTGATGCCAACTCTTGTATGGTTGTCAGGTGTGGTATTTTTATGGTTGCAGCAAAGAGGAAACAATACTTGTCATATTTTGTTAGGTCATGAGACAAATTTATCTCATACCAATTCACTTTCCAACTCCTTATTCTCCGAGGAATATATCTGCTAATTCATATATATATTTTTTTTAGAGCTCAGGAAATTTGTAAACGAAATTCTGTAATGTTGAATAAATTATGCATCTTAGTATGTATACTAACCTTGGTTTGATTGAAGGTTAAATCTGCTTTAAGCTGCAGCTGTTTTTCTGATAATGGTTTGGTGGCAACATTGTCATATGACTCTTTTCTGAGGGCAGCCGAAAGTTTTTTAATGAAATATTCACAGTTTGCGAAGTGTAATGCCCCACAAAACTGGAATATACACAATGTTGGTATTTCGACTGCCTGTGCAAGGAAACATTAAAAGATAGTGTTATATATATGAAAATAAATGGTATAAAATACCGACATAATGGAAACATAAACACATATGCAGTTTAATGTGATCCTTTATTGACAACGTTTCGCCCACACTGTGGGCTTTTTCAAGTCACACACAGATCTACCTGGGTGGAAGGTACAGGAGTATTCATAGTCAGGTTCAGAATGTTGAGGTCAGGTGGAGAATGCTGCCAAGCGACCCAAGATTTTAGACTTTATAACCCCACCCGGTAGATCATCAGATGCAGCATTCTCCACCTGACCTCAACATTCTGAACCTGACTATAAATACTCACGTACCTTCCACCCCAGGTAGATCTGTTTGTGACTTGAAAAAGCCCACTGTGTGGGCGAAACGTTGTCAATAAAGGATCACATTAAACTGCATATGTGTTTATGTTTCCATTGTGTTATATATTTGGCTAAAATATATTTTTACAGTATTTAATATTATAAAACTATTTTAAGAAATTGAAGTCTAGCTTCTAGCTAATACAATTTAATTACAAAATATAGACATTATTTATAATATTTTTTTTACGCTAAGATTTTTTAAATAATAATAAACTAACTAAGAAATTGAACAGAAAAAAAATAAAAGTCATGAGAAACCATTTTGTCATAATATTTCTTTATATATCCTCCCATATGCTTCGTCAAAATTATTTAAGTTGTGGAACAGTTAGAGACACGTCAACTATGTATACTAAAAATATATATTGGCTATAATAATAACGTAAAAACTATTTATATATTGGTTGTTCTCGAGCTTTGAATAATATACGTCAAACTTTTTTACCAGTGTTTGTGTCCCTTAATTTACTCACCAGTGTATGTATACTATCACTCACCAGTGTATGTATACTATCACTCACCAGTGTATGTATACTATCACTCACCAGTGTATGTATACTATCACTCACCAGTGTATGTATACTATCACTCACCAGTGTATGTATACTATCACTCACCAGTGTATGTATACTATCACTCACCAGTGTATGTATACTATCACTCACCAGTGTTTGTATACTATCACTCACCAGTGTATGTATACTATCACTCACCAGTGTATGTATACTATCACTCACCAGTGTATGTATACTATCACTCACCAGTGTATGTATACTATCATTCACCAGTGTATGTATACTATCATTCACCAGTGTACGTATACTATCACTCACCAGTGTATGTGTACTAACATTCACCAGTGTATGTATACTAACACCAGTGTATGTATACTATCACTCACCAGTGTATGTTTACTATCACTCACCAGTGTATGTATACTAACATTCACCACTGTATGTCGTAGGGGTTCTTAAAGGAGATTTGAGGGTTGAAGGTAGACACACTTGTTGGATGGTAACGCTATGTTGTCAGACTGTGGTAATGGGAGATGGAGCCCAGCCTGCCTTGTCCTGCCTATGTCTACACGCCGACTGAGAGGGAGGCAGAGGTACGAACGTACACATGCGCATCCCGTGACGTCACACAAACAGTCACTCGGCCTAAAAGGGATCTTCTATATAAAGCACATGGATGGTACTATGATACGCTATACAACACATATAAGGGGGATCAGCAACTATGCTGACAGCTCGGTCATGTTACATATGTCGTCTCGACATACACTACTATACTATAGGCTGAACAGGCAGGTGGTTCTGGGCTGATTCTATACAATAACAAAGACATATATAACTTAGAACTAATGGATGGTATCATAATGGAAGTTAACATAATGAGCTTTACGTAATGGGTGTTAACGTAATCACTTTTAACGTAATGCATTACGACTTATAAGAACAATTCATTGTACAATGTGGATGGAATTGATCGATCGATCTGTATTCATGCACTCTACGGATTCTGAGGAAGAATAAATATATATATACAAGGTGAAATTAACAGCAAAGGCATTTGGTATGCACTCAGATCATTACTGTCAAATTCTCAGAATACGGAGGGAACGTGAACACGAAAAAAAAAAATTCTGAAAAAACTGATCAGTTAATAACAAACAGTTGACAATTTCCTTCATCTCGGGCATCTAGTTATATAGGCTATGTACATTTAAACTCAATTCTGCGAGGGTGAGGTTTACATATGCAGAATGGTTATCATCTCTGGGAGGATCGAATTCCTCTGCAATGGCTAACACATGCCTTAACTGAGGGAGATCTGAACGAGTATCTACAAAAGATACTTGTGGGTTTCTCATTACTTGTCGAGTACGCAAAGAGTAACGACATTCAGGTTGATTATCTGACTGAGTATTTGAGGTGGAGGGTACAGAGTCAAGAGGGTTTTCAGCATCTGTCACATTAGTCTGGGTAGCAATATCATCAATATCGCATACTAATTTCATATAATCTAAATGCGATTCTTTATACTTACCAGTACTAATTTCTCTAACCTTATACTTATTGCCAGAGATATGTTCTACAACTCGATAAGGTCCGATAAACTTTTGATCGAGCTTAGGCATTTCGGATGTTTTGTTGAAATTTGTCAGCATTACTCTTGAACCTACTTTAACTTTTGATGGCTTAGCACGGCTATTAGTTACTCTAATAAATTCTGCTGTTGATTTATGAAGTGTTTCACGGATTCTTCTAAAAACACTCTGAGCCATGCTGGTACGAGTTGCTACGAAATCATCAGGGTTGTAATTAGGTTTCGGAGTGGAATATAACAACTCAAAGGGTAAACGCTTGTCTACACCATACAATGCATAATGTGGAGTATCACCTACGGAAGCATTGTAAGCAGAATTTATGGTACATTGGACATCTGGTATAACTTCATCCCAAGTTTCACTATTGGGGATGATAGTGGCTCTCAGGACATCAAGTACTTTCTTATTGGTTCGTTCAGCTAACCCATTACTGGCAGGATGATGAGGAACAATGGTGGATTTAGAGATCTTGTACAAAGTACACAAATTTTCAAGAATCTCATTACAGAATTCACCTCTATTATCTGTTACTAAGGACTTAGGGGTGGTATGCCTGCAGATAATGCGTTCTTTAAACGCTTTAGCTACTGTCTTTGCAGTCTTATCTGCAATAGGAACTAACTCACAATATCTGGTGAAATGGTCTACCATAACACACAGATGTTTGTTGCCTTGGAGGGAACATTTAAAATTGGTTAACAAGTCAAGGGCAACTCTTTCGCACGGTTCGCTAGTGGTTGGGTACACTTGGAATGGATTAGGACCATTGACATTTCCTTTAAGTTGCATACAAACACTACATTTCTTAACATACTCTGAAATGTCAGTTGCCATACGTGGCCAAAAGTATTTCATTCTGTACACAAATAACCCGCACATAAAAGAAAGAAGCTTACGACGACGTTTCGGTCCAAGTCGGACCGAAACGTCGTCGTAAGCTTCTCTCTTTTATGTGCGGGTTATTTGTGTATCGTTCCAGTCACGGTATTGTGCCTTTTTTGTTATTTATTTCATTCTGGCTTGTTTCACAGAACGATCCATACCAGGGTGTGCAACACCTGGTGAATCATGAACTAGCTGTAGAGCTACGTTCACTAGTGACTGTGGAATTACTAACTGGTAAACTCTTCTGCTTGGAGTACCCAACTCGGCCGTTTGATACAGTAATTCTTGGCTCATTACAAAGTCACTAATGGGTGCTGGTGGCTTCACAGTAAGAATAAGATCTTCCTGGAGCAGGAATCGAATCACACCAGACCACATGGGATCTGTTCTTTGGGCATTCTTGACATCCTCGGCAGTAAATGGAGGATCTGCAGTAACTACACTAACGTGTCGCGATAAAGCATCTGCGACTACGTTTGACTTGCCAGGTAAATGTTCAAAAGTGGGATTGAACTCTTGGATAGTCAAGGTCCATCTGGCTAACCTTCCAGTAGGTTGTTTATTCTGGAATAATGGTATCAGTGGTGCATGGTCTGTCAAGACATGAACAGGGTACTGGTAAATAATGTCTCGGAAGTGCTTCAAAGACCATACTATTGCTAAAGCTTCTTGCTCCGTTACTGTATAATTACGTTCAGTCTTCGTAAGGACTCTACTAGCAAATGCAACTGCGTTGTACTTGCCATGAGTCTTCTGAGCTAGTATGGCACCAATGCCAATTGAACTAGCATCAGTTGTGAGATAGAAGGGCTTAGAAAAATCTGGGAATTTCAAAATGGGAGCAGACGTTAGCTTTTCTTTTAGTGTCTGGAATGCTCTTTCTTGACGGAAGGTCCAAACGAAAGGAGCATCTTTCTTAAGCAATTCAGTTAGAGGAGCTGCTATTGAAGAAAAATTAGCAATGAAAGATCTGTAGAAACCTGCTAGACCCACAAAGGATCTTACAGCATCAGCAGTTTTGGGGGATGGAAAATTTAGTACTGCTGTTACTTTACTTTGATCAGTCGTAACCCCTCTAGGAGTGACTACGTGACCCAGAAACTTAATTTCTGATCTGAAAAATTTACATTTAGACAGTTTGATCTTCAAATTGGCTTCTTCAAGCTTACCAAGTACTATATCAAGTCTTTTCAGGTGTGTATCCACATCTTCGGACATGACGATTACGTCATCTAAGTACACTATAAGTGCTTTACCTATATGACCTCTAAAGATATTGGTCATGAGTCTAGAGAACATGATAGGAGAGGATCGTAATCCAAAAGCCATTCAAAGGAAGTGATAATGACCTGTGGGAGTGGAGAATGCTGTTAACTCTTGGCTGTCCTCGTGAAGAGGGACTTGCCAAAACCATTGTAACAAGTCCAGGGTCGAGAAGACTTTGTTATCTCCAATGTTGTGTAAAAGATCACCAAATACAGGAAGTGGGAAGTGATCTGGAATAGTTTTCGCATTTAACTTCCTAAAGTCAATCACCGGGCGCCAAGTGCCGTCCTTCTTAGGCACTAGGATTAAGGGCGCATTCTAGGGTGAATTACTATGTGCAATAACTCCA